CACTGTAACCTCTAAGGCTCCTCTCATCATGTCCAATAGTATTACATGCATTCAGAGATGCCTTCTCCAAGGCTGTCACCTAGCCTGCGCCTACTCTGCAACCCATGCCACCTCTTATTCGCTAATGGGGATGGCGACACCTTTCATTTTTGTACTCTTTTTCCAAGTCCAATGGCGCCTCCCTTCATATCCAATCGTGTTACATGCATTCAGAGATGCCTTCTCCAAGGCTGCCACCTAGCATGCGCCTACTCTGCACCTATATTGTAACCTCTAAGGCTCCTCCCATCATGTCTAATAGTGTTACATGCATTCAGAGATGCCTTCTCCAAGGCTGTCACCTAGCCTACGCCTACTCTGCAACCCATGCCACCTCTTATTCTCCAATGGGGATGGTGACACCTTTGATTTTTGTACTCTTTCGCCAAGTCCAATGGTGCCTCCCTTCATGTCCAATCGTGTTACATGCATTCAGAGATTCCTTCTCCAAGGCTGCGACGTAGCCTGCACCTACACTGCAAGAGTGACACTTATCATGCATGCATGCACCCACCTACCACCTCACTTACTCTATGAAATTTTTTTGCCTATAAATACAGAGCATTACATACTTCTCTCGCATCCACAATCGTCTCACTCTCTGCTAAAAACTCTTTCATAATCTCTTACAATTTCAAACTCTTTCATAATCTCAGGCATTTTTAACAATAACTCTTCTCACAATGGGCGATTCTCACAGAGGCACAAGGGACAACATTGCAGCATTTGTAAGTTTCTTTTATAGTTATACATTTTTCATACTTCTAGTAATGCTTTGTTCATCTTACTTACTCTTACACCTTTTACATTATTAACTTAGGATACCAAAAGATTCAGAATCCGGTCACACAACTACCTTGCTCCGGACCCATTGATCGTACCATATCTGGAATACGCAGGTTTTGGAAATGTTATAAAGATCTCCAACTGCACAGTTGATTCAAAGTTTATACTAGCAATGTTAGAAAGGTGGAGACCAGAGACCCATACATTTCACCTACCAATAGGTGAATGTACCGTCACGCTAGAGGACGTGTACATGTTATTGGGTCTCCCTGTCGATGGTAAGGCCGTTAATGGGTCGGTTCAATAACCCAATTCTCGGTGTGAAGAATTTTTGGGCAGGAATATGGTTGACGGTTGTGGTGCGAGAAGTCAGGGTATACTACTAACTGAGCTAAAAAATCATTATGCGACTCTGGAATTAAACGAAAATTCCTCCGAGCTAGCCAAGGTAATAAAAGCTAGAACTTATATAATGATACTATTTGGAACCTTTTTATTTCCTGAAAGTATGGGAAATAGTGTAAATTTTATGTATTTAAATTTACTTAGAGACTTCAAAAAAACTAGAAAGTATAGTTGGGGTTCTGCTTTTTTAGCCCACCTATACAATTCCTTGTGTAAAAATGCAATCAAGGAAAAATGTACATTTTATGGCTGCGCTTTTTTACTTCAAGCCTGGGGTTGGTGAAGGATGGAGTCCCTAAACCCCGTCAACAACAACACATTCGTTTTCCCATACGCAACAAAGTAAGTCATCAAGTTATATCATTTATTACTATTCATCTCTTCACCAAATATATGATAAAAATAAAATATTTTTCATTTCCTTTAGGTATTGTGTGAGGGGTATGGATTACGACAAGAATCCAAGATCCAATGTCGCACTATACCACAATCTATTGGATCACCTTGGCCCGGATGATGTACGTCGTACCTTTCAACTTTTCTACTTTTAAATTATTTATATATTACGTTTTCATAACCTAATTTAATTTTATCTGCAATTTGTCTGGAGACCATATTTGGGTATGGGCCATGAACCAAACCCCGAGGATGCAGAAATTTGGAGCGTAAAGACTGCAATCATACGGTTTAATATTGTGGAGATGCACCACAGCGACTGTGTGAAGATGCAGTTTGGAATGCATCAAGAGATACCCAGCGATCCGACTTGTTTTTCCCCGTGGCATCTCAAAAGGGTTGACGCCCAATGGGGTCTTACCAACTGGAAAGACTTTGCTCCAGAATGATGTAAGATGTGGCAGAGGCGTCACCGACATGTCTTGCAATTCCCAGTTTTCCTCAACCATGGTAATATGCGACACATGGATCAGTATTTATCTTGGTACAGATTGGTTAGTACCCCTGAAATGCACGTGTCTCATCCAAGGTATTTGGTTACTCCACGAACACAATGGGCACAACCGTCATTTCCCCAACAACAAACCCAACACACATCAACCTCCCACCAACCCCCCAGACGAAACAGAACCACAAACACCCAACCACAGTCACCACCATAATACAATTACACCCACATGCCCCACAACCAACCACAATCACCACCTCAGTACCAATACCCCCAAATGCCTCACACTCAACCATAATTTCAATCACAATACCAACACACCCGCATACCCACACACAATTTCAGTCTTCTGCATATCCCAATATGGGCCCCTCAACATCCAACCTTAGCCCTGATCTAGGAATGTTGGAAGATTATGAACCAACCGACCCAACTTACCATCAACCACAATATCACCAAACCACCCAACATCCTCAATACCAAACACCCCAAGATCCATTTCCTTTCTATCCCTCATACTCAGACGACCAATGCTACAGGCCAACCATGGAACCTCATCCATCGACAACACGACCAAACTTTGAGGGTATGGGTAACTGACTGTACCAAAGAGGATCTTCTAGATATGGAGATCTGACTGATTTCATGGATCCGGAACGCATTGACTTCGCTGGGCCATCAACCCTGCCACAGCAGGAAACGCGATGAAACCCAGCACGGGAAAGGCGAGGACGGGGATGCAGAACCGGGGGTCATTACCGGGTTCCGGGGGACCACTGATTAATTTTTTTTATGTAATAGTTATGTGTGTAATCATATTTTGTAAATAAAAAGTCAATTTTGTTGATCCTATATCGAATACGTAACGCACCGCATTGAAGAAAAAAAACGCGAAAATTGCCCTAGCAAATGCACTAAGGCGTCATCTCACTTGGCTTAGGGCAAGCCCTAAGCACCTAGGCGCCAAGTGAGATGACGCCTCCCCTTAAAAAGTAGGTGTAGGCGCCAAGTGAGATGGCTCCTCCTTTGGGGAGTCATCTGAAACATAATTATTTGCGTAATTTTTTCCGAAATATGGTTATTTGCGATTTTTTTAATACATGGTTATTCCAAAAAAAAATATTCAACTCTAGGCACATAGATTATTGAATTATATTATTGAAAGGAGAGATTAATTTTCATCTTGGAATTACTTCAAGAATCAATCTTATTCAATTTGTTTAAGTGTATTATGACTTAATTACCAAAGTGGGAGGTGACTAGTTTGTGGAAAAGAAAGTGGTGTGCTTTCTTAAGTGTGTAAAAAGGAATGTGGTGTGATTCTTTTGTGTTGTGATAAGAAAGTTGTAAATTGGTTTTGGAAAAAGACTTGTGCACAAATCTTATCATAATAGAAAATCCTCCGAAGTATGAAGGAAATATATGTACCCTTGATTATAAGAGGAACTCGTGTAGATTTCTTGTGTCCTTTACCTTTTTATGCACTTTATATTTTCTGCACTAATCATCCAAAGAACCATATAATCAAAAGTTGCATTGCTTATAAATTAAAAATCTTAATCTTTCAATAAAGAAATAAAAATCCAACAACTCTGATTCACCCGACCCTCTTAGGTTGCACTCTCATAGTTATATAATTCCTTCAATATAGTAATGAAAATGAAAACTATTAGAGTGTTCATGGTAATTGCATCTTCTCAAAACTGGCCATTGTTTCAGCTTGATGTTAACACTACATTTTTTGCATGATGATCTTAATAAAGAAGTATATATGCAGACCCCTTCTGATTTAGATTTGCCTCAACCTAATATGGTGTGCAAGATACAAAGATCTCTTTATGGATTAAAGCAGACAATGGAACACAGAGCTCACTAAAATTCTAATAAATCTAGGATACATATAATCTAAGCCAGACTACTCTTTGTTTACCAAGAAAAATAATGCAAAATTCATTGTGATTCTAGTCTATGTGGATGATTTGGTCTTAGGAAGGATTGATATTGCTGAAATTGCAAATATTAAGACCTTATTAAATGGTCAGTTCAGCATCAAAGGTTTAGAAATTATCAAATATTTCCTAGATTTTGAGGTGGTTAGAACAAAAGATCATATTTCATTATGTCAAAGGAGATATAATTTGGATCTCCTACAAGATACTGGTCTAACTAGGATAAAATCATGCAACTTTCATATGCAGTCACACTTGTAACTTCATAGAAACCTTTGTCAGTTAATTTCTGAACCTACAACTTATGGAAGATTAATTGAAAGACTTCTATACTTAACCCACTCTAGACTTGAAAGTTCATATATTGTAAGTAAGTTTATTCAATTTTTGGCTGCATCAACGGATGAACATATGCTAGTACGGTTACATGTCTTGAAGCATTTCAAAAAAAAAACTGTAATAGTTTGTTATTTAGCTCATCATCTACACTAACTCTTAAAGGATTTTTTTTATTCTGATTGGGAAGCAAGTCCAAATACTAGGAGATCACAACAGGTCTTCGTTTATCCTTGGAAGTTCATTACTTAGTTGGAAGAGCAAAAAGCAAACAATTGTGTTAAAATCATCATCTGAAGTTGAATATAAAACATTGGCATAAGCAACTTGTGAAGGAAAATGATTTCTCTACTTGTTACAAGACTCATCACCAATTAGCATTTATTGTGATAACAAATCATTTTTATATATAGTTGTTAATCTTGTATTTCATGAGGCAATTATGTAAGCATACAAATTTAATTATGCAAGAGGAAATTGAATCTGCCGGAGTCAAAGAATAACACATTCACACATTTGAAAGATTGGTATCCGTTAGATTAAAATTTAATGGTTTAAAAAGTATACAAATGTGATCATTTTCAAGCTCCATCCTTTCCAACCACAGCCTCCTTAATCTTCTCTGACTCATCCTTGGTCGCCTCCCACGCTCCTTCTCCAGCCTCCTTCGCCTTCTCCCCTTCACTCCTCAGAGCCTCCGTCGCACTCTCAATTCCTTCTTTTGTCTTATCAACCACAGAACCAACAGCTTCAGTGGTTTTGTCCTTTGCATCATAAACATAATCTTTTGCCTTCTCTCCAGCACTCTCTACTGCCTCTACAGTCTGGTTTGTACCTTCTGTAGCTTTATCAACAATTGAACCTGCTGCTTCCTTTGCTTTTTCATTTACATCAAAAGCATAATCTTTTGCCTTCTCCCCAGCACTCTTTGCTGCCTCTACAACCTTGTCTGTTCCTTCTTTTGCTTGATCAAATACCGAACCTGCGGCTTCCTTTGTCTTCTCATTTGCATCAAGCGCAATTTTTTTTATGTCTTCTATGCCTTCACTGATAGACTCTGCGGCTCTGACGACTACACCGCGTCTTGTCTTTGTTGCATATTTGAAACCTATATGTGCATGGTTGGAAGTTGAAGATAGGAAGACTCTTGAGGATTTTTGAAGGGAGAGTGAAGGGACGTTAGGGAGGAGTGGCTTTGTGAAGTGGCAGAGTACTGTGTTTCTGATAATGAGCATTGCTTCCATGTTTCTTAAATTCTTCGAATTTGTGTTTGATGACAGATACTGTGTTGTAATGAAACATGTGATTGGTTTATACTGTGTTATCAGTGGAAGTAAAAGGTGGCAAACAAGTGGGGATTGAGACGTGATGGTCCAAGCACTTTTTATATGTGCCGACGTGATTTTTCCTTTAGTAGTTGAATTGTGCCGACGTGATTTTACATTAAATGGGCCGACATGAAATATATAATACTAGGTGGTAAACTATTGGATTTTGTGTCATATTTTGTTGCATTTAGAGGGTCAATATTTGTTCACGTACCTTTATGAAAAATAAAAAATGTATTTAAAATTTGAAGATTAGTTTTCGGACCCACTTTATTTTATGTCTCATCTATTTTTAAGTAAGTCACGTTTACATTTTGTCAAAATCAAATTAGAAAATACATCTTCGTATTTAACTTATAGGAATATATTTTTAGATGTGGTTTGAGTCAAATATACGTTAGACTTTTTCTTTTTTCACTTTTAACAAAATCACTTTTCAATCATTTCTCAAACTTCGCAATTATCTCAAGTATTTTATCAATCCAAGTGTTTTTTTTCTACATTCAATTCAAGTGGTTTATCAATTACTTCTCAATATTTATTCAATCCATGTGATTCGACTTCAACTATATATTTGATAAGTTTATCAATCCAAGTGTTTTTTATTTTCTCTTTATGCATTATGAAATAGGTGTATTAGGTTGTGTAAGAAACATTACTTTATAACTAGTTACACTCATTGTCAAGTAGTTTATTGACTCGTGTGTTCTGTGCCATTTTCATTTTCCTCGTGTTTTGCCATTTTTGCGTTTTCTGTGTTTTAGAAAACTACATAAGTGCAATTTCGTATTTTTTTAATTTGATTTTTTGGAAATACTGAAGTGCACTTTCGTATTATGTTTGCATTGTTTGATTTTTAATGTATTTCATCCGGGTTTGAGTTTTTCTGCTTTGTTTGGTTTGTCTAGTGTAATAATAGGTAGTTGCTGACAACCAAGAATGATTGATGCACGGTAGAGTGTCTCAGCATGCATATGTTCGTAAGGAAAGAGTCTGACCCCTCGCGATCACTGGTTGGTTCCAGTTTATTTGATGCAGAAACGTCAATTTCAAGGGTTCAGGTGTCTTCGACTTGGTCTTCCCATAGACATGTGTCACGTGTTGCGGCCCCAGAAGCCCCGCCAGTCCAGGTTGATGCACTTTTGCCGATGTTGTCGTTTTTGAGAAATTTGGATGAAACCCATATGATATATCACCATTGCCTCTGTATGCAAACCATGTTTCTAGGCATGTGTGGGACAGAGAGGTAAATCTAATCTATATTTATTCTTTGAAACACATGTGTTATAATATTCGCACTTTCTGACGATGATGCATTTTTTTGCTGTATCGTGATGCTTTAAAATACATCAACCATGGTAGGAAGATTGCGAGGTTGTATTAGCTTGAGAGAAAATGGTTTCATGATGTCATGCAGTTATCTAGGCTGAGAGATTTATGCATGACCAATTATACTATTATAAACCATGGTATGTTGTCAGCTTTCGTTGAGAGATGACACTCAAAGACGTCGTCTTTTCATTTTCTGTTTGTTGAGATGTCCATCACACTGGATGATGTGTCATTCTTGCTACATCTTCCTATTGCGGGAAGGTTATTAGACCACTCAAGAATGACCAGACACGATGCATTGGATATGATAGAGACCTATTTAGGAACTAGCCCAAAGGATGCCCTGAAGGAGTTGGAAGACACCATAGGGTGTTGTGCTAGATTTACATTTTGGCGAAATTATATATACACCACCTGGCTGCGACAGTGGAGGCCGATGGTGATGATGCATAGATTATACATCATAAAGCATGTGCATTGAAGTTATACCTCATGTATTTGGTTGGAACGTTCATATTTATGGATAAAAGTGTTTATTATGTCGATGTGGTTTATCTTAGATACTTCATTGACTTTGAAGGAATTCATGAGTACAACTGGAGGGTCGCTTGTTTGGTTTACTTGTACTTGAAACTATTTGGAGGTTGTCTTTAGAATACCAGACAGATGACAGCAAGATACACATTGTTTACGGGGTAATATATTTGCATATTTACTACTATTGTACCATTTTCATAATATTTGTGCTACGCCATTACTAATAATTCATTTGTACCATTTTTGGGCATGGATGTTGATGACTATACTAAGGATTAACCATGTGCTTGTGCATTCGTACCGCTCAAAAAGGAATTATGTGATCGAGTCGTTCAGAGTGTTTCTTGATAGCAACGCAACAGATGATATAAGCTACACAATGTATGACGGCCACCGACAAATGCATCCCTTGAATAATGTAACATCCTGAATATTTTGAATACATTATGTATGGTTTTATTAATATTTTCACGTTTATTATTTATTAAACATTTTATCTTATGGTTAAGGAAAATTCTTAGAGATGGAGGTATTGAGTGGCTCACCAAACTCTTTAATAAAATTATGAGGTTAAAGAAAATGTTAGATGAATGGAGAAGAAGCACTTTGGTCCCAATCTATAAGGGGGTTAAGCTTACGAGTCATAAAATGAAGTTATGGGAAAGAGTCATTGAACCAAGGCTAAGAAAAAAGACTCAAGTCACTGAGAATCAATTTTGTTTTATGTCTGGGAGGTCGACTATGAAAGCGATCTATCTATTATAATGTGCGATGGAGTTGTCTTAGATGAACCAACAAGACATGCACTTAATTTTTATTGACTTGGAGAAGGTGTATGACAGAGTGCCTAAAGTTATTTTGTCAGAAACCTTAGAGAATAAAAGGGTTAGGATTGTATATATTCGAGTTATCCAAGATATGTATGAAGGGACATCAACTAGTGTGCAGACACAAGGTGGAGAGGCAGCTGATTTTTCCATTACAATAAGTTTGCATCAAGGTTCAACCCTAAGCCCCTACCTTTTACTTTAATTTTGGATGTACTCATGAAACACATTCAAGAGTTGGCACCGAGATGCATGCTTTTTCAGATGATATAGTCCTACTTGAAGAATCGAAAGAGGATTTAAATTAGAGGTTGCAGACTTAGAGACAAGCTTTAGAAACGCATAGATTTCACCTAAGAAGAAGTAAGACTGAGTATATGGAATTTAATTTCAATAAAAGGGGAGGTGTTTCTGACATTGAAAGTTGGAGATGATATCATAGCACGAGTCACGCGGTTTAAATCTCTTTGGTCTGTAGTACAAAATGATAGAGAAATAGAATGGGATGTAAAGCATAAAATTCAAGCTAGATGGTTTAAACGAAGGAGGACTTCAGGGTTTTTATGTGACATAAATGTAGTTTTCAAGTTGAAGGCGACATTTTATCAAACTACGATGAGATCTGTAATGTTTGTATGGGACTGAATGTTAGGCGATTAATATTAACACAAAAATAAAGTAAGTGTAGGAGAGATAAAGATATTATTTTGGGTGTGTGGTAAGACTGTACATGATAATATTAGAAATGGCAATATTAGAGAGAGTGTTAGGGTAGCACCTGTAATAGAAAAGATGGTGGAAATAGATGTAGCTGATTTGAGCATGTAAAGAGAAGATTTATAGATTATGTGGTAAGAAGAGTAGATCATATGGAGAGAAGTCAAACAACTAGAGGTAGAGGAAGACCTAAAAATATATAAGAGAAGTTATTGAAAAAAAACTTGAGATTAACAATTTAGATAGAAGCATGGTATTATATAGAATATTATGGCAAAATTTAATCCATGTATCTAATCCTACTTAGTGGAATAAGGCTTGATTATTGTTTTTTTCTATACTATTGTCTTTATTAATTAATCATTAAATTAAAAGTAGAGAGAATTGAACCAAAAAAGTATGAGAAATCTACATCATATTTTTCCCATCTTTTTTTGTTACATTGAGAGAGAAAAAAGTACACAAAAATTATGTTAATAAATAACATCCATATAGCAATGGTTAAGATCATTGAAAAGAGACAACAATTGTTTATGTAATATCACAAGAAATATTTATAATAACAAAAAAATTTAACTACCTCACTTAAATATTAAATACCTTAACATGTTCAGACATATCATAAAAACCACCTTGTTCATATCAGACCAATTTGGATAAATTATAGTAATTAATTTCAGTTTTGTGTCGTCCAGAAGGGCTGATATCCATGGCCCTAAGAAGGAAATGGTTTTCTAAATTGCTTGCAGCATACAAATGTTCCTCTGGGAAAGAACATAGGAGATCTAGTTCCAAGATACATTCAACGACTCCTCTCATCTTGCTCTTGAAGAATAGAGGGTTGTAATAATAATTTGATTATATAAAGGGAAAGTGTTCCATTCTTCAGGTAGACAATTTCAAGTTCAAACTTCATTCACTGATCTTACTCGCATATTAACTCAGGCATTTGAGTGCTAACCTTGTAGGCCAGACTCTCCCTCACAACGTCAGAAGTTCAAGTATACCTTTGCATCTCACAACCTCCAATCTCAAATCAATTATAGTTCTAATACGGAAAAGTGATGCCATAAATGGGAATCAACTTTGGATTCCCGCATTTTTCACGATTGAATAACCTCAGTTTGATCCACTAATTTGAAGCTTTCTCAACCGATAAAATCATAGTTCTTGAGATCAAACCATAGATATATTGTTCTTGATCTACTCCAATAACATATTAACTCTAATTTTCAAAATTTACAAATCTTTAATCTCCAGATATTTTGATAATGCTAGGATCTAGAGTCACTCGCTCCTTCGAAACGGCCTTCACTGCTGTTGCTCAAGCCACGAGAGATTCATTGCTTCCTTCTCAAGGAGATGAAAATCAGGTTGTTGCAATAAATCAATTACATCTAGATCTCCTCCAACCTACGCAGATTGCAGGATATGTTCCACCATTCCAACATGGCAAGCCTTTGCTCAAACCTGAAGCACCATCATTGAATTCAGGACTGGAGG